ATATATATTTATATAAACGTCAAGTTAGTTCTGAATTTTCAGAAATTAAAATTAATCTCTGCATGGTCCACCAAGATCACCCTGAAAGTCGCAATTGTTCTCGCTAGGGTTTGAAAACTCGTCGAGTCGAGCCGGACTCTCCCGGTTCGACTCAGGAATCGTCTGCTACCGAGCCGATTCCACAAAAAAACCGGGAATCGCCCATATCTAGAGAAAACCGGGCTATTCCCAATAGTGAATCGCGAGTCGATTCCCAACAGTGAATCGCAAGTCGATTCCCAACAGTGAATCGCAAGTCGATTCCCAACAGTGAATCGCGAGTCTCACCAAAAAAACCTAGGCATTCTAGTCATTTTTGGGTTTATACGTGGCCGCCTCGCGGGAGCAACATGTGGCACCTAAAAATCCTCCACACGAGATAACTCACCTCACATGTCTGCCCCTCCACTTTTCTACACGTGCAGCACAATATCTATTACACAGGAATTTATAGAGAACAAAGCGACGCTCATCCTTCGATATGGGATAATTCCCATAAAAAATCATTAAAACAAAAGATTGAATATATATTATTATAGAAGCTAATAAAATCACATTAGGGGACGTGGCAGTGTTGGTTGACAACTCCGATTTTTCGGTGGATATTTAGAGTTCGAACCTTAGCGCACGTCCTCGTTTATTTTTGTTGTCAAAAAAAAAAATAAAGGCAGAAAATACTGTTGTAAAAAAATAGAAAAACTAAAAAATAAAAGGCTTTTCAAGATAAAGATAAAAAAGACAATGCAACATTTTTTTATTTTTTTTGTAAAAAAAATACAAGATAATATAACAAGTATTTCTTGCAAAAAAACAAAACGAAAGGCATAAAAAAATAAAAAATACAACAAGCAAAAAAAATTTAGTACAACATCTTCTTCTTTTGTCAAAAAAAAAGAAAAGATAATCAACAAGTATCATATTTTTCTTGTAAAAAAAAATAAAAGATAACACAATAAGTATTTCTTGTCAAAAACATAAAAGGTATTTCTTAATACAACCTAGGAATAAATGGTCTAATTATATTTTTTATGTTTATAACATGATGGTCTTTAACATAAATTTAGTAATATTAATTTAAATATAGGATTCATACAATGAGACCATTTGAAATCTCTCTCTTTCTACTAACAACCTCTTGGACTAATTTATTCTAGAAACCTAAAAATTTAAAGAAAATTGGTACGCATTCTAATAATTTCGACATTGATAAGCAAATTTTTTATTTTATTTATTAATTTTTGTATTATAATTCATGTAGTGTACTACTTTTCTTACAGTTGTCAATAATACATTTTAAATTAGATGATATTATAAAATATTTTGGATTTGTTATTAGTTTTATAATAAAATAATTATAAAATATAGTTGGTATATAATATTATAGTTAGTTAGGTTGTAATAATTTGGGTTTTTTTAGCGGATTAGGGTTTTTCGTCAATTCGAGATTTTAGTGGCCAATTTTTCATCGATTCAGTCAACTCTTTATTGTAGTCCATATATGATTATATACTTAATTCATGATAATTCTATGATTTCTTTTGTGTGATGTAAATTTAATGGTCAACATAAGTTCATATAGGGAAAGAACATCTCAATATTCATAAATTGATGAAAACAATGAAAGTTAATAATGTACTACCCTCATTTCTTATTGCATTCCTAAAAAACAACATTTATAATGAATTTTAATAATTTTTTCAAGGCTTAATCCAAGCGATTCGGCCCTATTCCCGATCCGGATAGCCGATTCGTCGATCCGGATCGGTTTTTGAGATGCCCGATCTGGGTCATCGATCCGTTTTTTAAACCACTAACACTCGTGGGTATTTGTTCATCTACTCCCTCAAATAACACCCTGCCAAGGATAAATTTTAGGATCCCAAATTTTGGGGATACAACCTCTTTAACACTTGGATTAACCGTTACTAAAGAAAATTCCTAATTGCATCCTCCAAACACTTGAAAAACTAATGCCTCAAGATTGAATAGAAACCATCTAGTTTTTCAAAGAGTGAGATCTAAGTGCTAGAAAACTCAAATTTTACTTTTGTTTTATTTTAACAGTAATCATCTAGTGATCCTAAAGTGGTTTCCAAATTTTCAAATTGAAAAAAATCCTCCCAAGGTTGGTCATCTGACGAGCGAGTAGAAGCAGACTTTGAGGAAGCATAATACACGTTTTAAAAAAAAAAGACAAAAAAAAGTTGAGAGTTTCGCTTCACTTCCTTCCAAAGCCTATAATCCCATTTTGAGCTTTTGACCTATTTCTATTGGATGAAATTCCTATAAAGCCTAGTTTTATAAAAACAAAATAAAGCCTTACCTCAAAACTTTTTCCGGAAAGCATTTTCGGTACAGAAACAATTATGATGGTTTTAAAATCAATTTTTAAAACTTAAAAAAAAAATACAATATTACGGATATGTGAACCGTTATTTTTAGGACGAAATAAACAATCTAGATAATTTTTTATACTATTCCCTATTTGTCGAGTTTAAAATCCTAATTTTTTTTCACAACTATAATATTCAAACCAAGATGATCAATCTAAACGTTTTTTTTATGCTTGAATTGCAACTTTTCAATGAGATAAGGCTCATTTTCCTTTTCTATAACTATAATAGTGCATCATGTATTATAGCATGAGCGGCTATCCATAAACAATGTTATTAGACTGTGCCCACCACATGCCCCTCCATTTACTGCTCATCCTTTTATTTAAACTTTCTCTTTGGAGCCATGCGGCAGCCCTAATTCTACATTAGAGAATCTTTGCTCCTCTCTCTCTCATGATTCTAGAGAGACGCCTCTGCCCCTCCTCTCTCTCTCTCTATTTTTATGTGTCCATAATTTTTTTGTCAAGCACATGACTCTGTCCATAATTTTTTAGATAGATTA